GGGGCCCTTAGACCTATAGATGTGTTACTTTATTCGTGGGATCGTGGTCACGATGTATGTGTTGACTTAACAGGGTCTTCTCCTTTGACACATACAGGGCTATCTGACTTTGTTCCTGGGCGGGTTGTGGCTGATGCAGATCATCGGAAGCGGGTTAAGTATGAAGCTAGTTGTCGGGCGATTGGATATGGTTTCATTCCCTTCTCCTTTTCTTCGCTTGGGAAATTAGAGAAGGAGGTTGTTGCGTTGCTGAAGCGGGTTTAGAAGTTCTCGACGACGGAAGGCATTGGGGCTCGTGTTGCAGCTCATATCTTCACTAGGGTAGGCTTTGCTATAGCTAGAGGAGTGGGGGCCTAGATTGTATCTCAGCTTCCCACTAATTTATTGTAGGTTTTATGACTTTGTGTGTTTATGAGATATGATAATAATAATAATAATAATAATAATAATAATAATAATAATAATAATAATAATAATAATAATAGTAATAATAGTAATAATAATAATAATAATAATAATAATAATAGTAATAATTGTAATAATAGTAATAATAGTAATAATAGTAATAATAATAATAATAATAATAATAAATAATAATAATAATAATAATATTAAAAAAGTGAGGAATAGAGAGCGCCTATACTAAGATGACAGCTCTTTTTTCCTTGTTTTTTATTTACCTTTTACCTAAAATACGAAGCGTCTATCTTGGATAAGCGATGTGTATTGTGTTAGATATAGAACGCCTCCTAGAGACGTTTTATAGACTTTATAAGACACCCCCTTAGAAGAGCACCTTAGAGGCGATCTATATTGGTTGTTTTAGGCGATCTCTATTCCCTATTTTGTGGTAGTGAACCCCCAATTACTATTTAAATCAATAAATACAATAGCAAAATTAAAATTAAACTGTCATTTCAATCAAAATTGAACTGCTACTTGTTTGGTTAGACAATGTAAAATGGAGGAAATGAAAATTCATGAGATTTGATGAGTTGAAAACTTGTTTGGTTGACATACAAATGAAAAAATAGAGGAAGTGCAAATTCATGGGAATTTCAACTTCCCACAAAACATAGGAAGTTGATTACCTAGACTCCCTTTAGTCAATTAAAATTCATGGGAATTTTAAATTCCCACATTGCCAACCAAACAAGTTTAGGAAATTCATAGGAATTTCATTAAGTATATAATTTTCCATGAAATGAAAGTTTCTATGTGAATGAAATTCTCACATCAACGAAACGAGAGGTCATAGGCATTACTCCAGGGTAGTACATTGTATAATCATTGACACACTTATGGATTGTACTCATTTTTCAATGGAAATTTTTTTATCAATCATACCGCGTAGTAATGTCATTTTGAAAATTACTACTACGAATTATAAAACTTGTAAATTACTACCGAAAATATTTTAAAATTTAAATTTTACTACTAGACTCCACTTTAGACTATGACGTCATTTTTTCTTCTTAACCCACGTTTAACCCTTAGTTAAGCATTTAAACGACCCTAAAAATAAAAATAAATAAATAAATAAACCCTTCCTAACCCATGGTTACCCTAGCTAACCCAATCCACATTTCTCTCTCACTTCTTCACTTTGACCCTCTGACCTTCAAACTCCATTGAATTGAAGAACACTCTACAAATTAAAGCCACGAATCTTCTGCTCTGATGTGCAACGAAATCTAGACAAGCAATGAACCTTCTTTGTGGATTCTCTTTGGTCCAAGACTTCATAATTGAAGCCTTCAGCCCACACTTGCATTTCCAACCCATTGAACTTGCCCCCCTAAATAGAGGCATCTTCATGTAACATTTAAAATAAATACCAAATCAAATCACATATTATGCTTATTTGATAGCTTAATTCAAAACAAAATACAAAAGCCCTTTGTTAATCAACCAAAATTTTCATCCATAAACCCTAAAATGCAAAATCCCTAAAGTTCGAAAACCCTAGAATTTGAAAACAATAAAGATTATTTTATGATAAGCAAATTACACGTTTATTTGGAGCAATTGAGGATAGGTGGGAAGAATTAGGGTGAATTTGGAGCAAGAAGTTTGGAGGGTTTTTACCAATGGTGAAGGAGGAAGATTGATGAGAGAGAAAGAAAGGCAAAGGAGGCTTTTCGTTAAGTTAGTTAGCTGGGGTAACCATAGGTTAGAGGGATTTTATTTTTCTTTTTTTTGTCGTTTAAATGCTTAACTAACGGTAAAATATGGATCAAGGGGAAAAAATGACGTCATAAATGGTCTAAAATGGAGACTGGCAGGAAAATAAAATTTTTTACGGTAGTAATTTACAAGTTTTTTAATTCGTGATAATAATTTTCAAAATGACATTAATACGGGATAATAATTGACAACTTTTCCTTTTTCAATTATAAGTACGCAAAATTACAAACTGTATTATCCTTTCAAGGCAGAAAGGATGGCATTTTATATGAATTTGATTACTTCATGCAAATTGTAAACATATTTGCCAATGAAAGTGCATTCAGATCGAACCAAAATACTACAGAGTAACTCTATGTAATCCTTCACAACTATAGCACTTCCAATGAAGTGAGTGAAGTAAATTTGAGACACTACTATCATAAAATTGTACAATACAAGCTGTTCTTTGTGTCTGACTATGCAAAACCTGATAAAAAAATGGAATTGAAATTAATTATACATTCACAATTAAACAGAGGCAGGAAATCAGAAAAAATAGAAGGAAAGATACAATTATAATTCCCAATCCATTTTGGGTCACAGGATAAGTGTTTGAACGATGATACGAGTTACATTTTCAGAATGCACAAATTCATCAGCTAATTTGGAACGTAATTCAGTTCTTATTAAACCAATTACAAATCTTGCTATTTTGGTTGGAATAATTTGCTAATGAAGTACTTGTATGAAGTACTATACATATACTGAAATACACTCCTATACATTCTCATGCATCTCCAAATACAAATTTTAATATTCAGACCAACATATAACTGCATTGCTTAGCAGTAACACTTAAATTTCTAGCCAATCAGTGTAAGAATGAGCGAGTGCAAGTAGCTCAACTATGATTTCTTTATGAAACAATGTTCAGTTTAGTTTATCGAGTACAGTTCAATGCTCTTTCCTCAATCGCTACTGCCACAGAAGAATAGCAAATTATAGATTACTATGTCCAACCAATAAGATCATAACAAAAGCTACAACACCAGGAAGATACCAATCGAATTGTTGTTAAAAGCATGCCAGTTGTTCTGCTCCAAGTCCAACTTTGGTTGTCATAACTAACAGTTATATGTCAATCAAATTTTCTGCAAAACTAGTATCTTTGATCGCGAATTCTACAATACCAAGTTTATTAAAAAAAAAAAAAAAATCCATCCACACCAAATGTTTTCTCTCAAAATATTAATGAACATATAAATTTGAGTGCTTCAAATCGATATAGTGATCTAAATTCTTTAAAAAAAAGCAAGTTACATCTCAACATCAGAGGTGAGGGGATATTGACAGTAAAACACCATAACCATAAGCTGGCATTTTCTTTTCAACCAAATTTCAACATCCTGCTTCACTAGACTTTCATGGAAATATTACGCAAGCTATTCTTCTTTTTTCAGCGTAATATACAAGTAAATCAAGAACACCATTCACACCAAATTATCTGAAGGAAATTTGTGTCACTTTGTAATGAATTTAAATGCATCCCAAACTATAGCCCTCCCATATTGGCAATGGAAAAGAATAGATGATACATGCCTGCCAGTATTGCACCTCAAATAATACAATCTAGCTATCAAAATTTCTGAAATATTTGATATCATCCTGAAGTTCGTAAACATGGGTAAAACATAAGCCCACTCTAGACTGTAACTTCTCACTGAGAAGTATGCAGACAAAGTGAAATTATATTCATTCAAAAATACGCAATGCCACAGGGACTTGGGATTAGTAATGTATCAAATATTTACAACATTAGTATGAGAATTGATTATAGAGAACAATCCTAAACAAACCTCAACCCTCATGGTTTTTTAAACATATAGGCAGTAGGTAACGCACAAAAACATTTAAATCTATTATACTCTATATAACAGAAGTATTGATTTGTGAGTGCCTTCTTGTAAGGTTTTCTTTTTCATGTAAGCTTGTAAAACCATGAAAGTTTCAGCTTTTCTTCATAGGTAAAGGCTAAACTTTTAAAATAGTAAATATAAGAATTAGTTTTAGTCGTTCCAGATTAAGAAAATTAATTAAGATCTATCAGTAGTATAAGTCCCGTGCAAATGCACAGTTTTTATAAAATTTTATTACGAATTACAACATTTAGTTATTACTACAATAGTTAATTTTAAAAGTGAATTACATTACTAAACATAATAAAATAACTTCATCATATACAATACATTAACAATAAAATCAAGGTCAATACCCGTGCCATACACTTTTAATCCCACACTTTGATAGGCACATGAGTAATTTACTTGATTAGTTGTTTCATTTTTAGTGAATGGTGGAGAATTTATTTTTTGTTTTATTAGTACAGCTATGACTATAGTCAATGGGTATTTTTATCTAATATTTCTATAATATTAAACAAAAAAAAATACATAGTTATGTATAAATATATAATTTACAATAAATGAGGTGCAATGTTAATAAAAGTATAGATTCTTTACAACTTCATTTATTTTATTTTCACCGAAAATTGTTGATGAGTTTATTCTTGAAATAAAAAACAAAGTACAACATATGTATATAATTAGACAAAAAAAATTAATTTAAAGTCTTATGAAATATTACTACTTTAATACCCAATAAAAATGGGAAGAAAGATATGAAAATATATATTGGTAGAACATATGGATGAAATTTGATGTCAAATATAGAAGTTAATATTTGACAAAAAAAAAACATATAGGCCGGAAAATTTTTAATTAGAAGATGACACGTGTTATCTCAAAGTTTGCCTTTAGTATAAAGTTATAGATAGATTAGTTCTTAATAAATTGACATTATTAATAGTCGTATCCATAGAGCATAAAATTACTTATACTGTACACATAGAACACTTAAAAGTGGAGATGTGTTTTCACATTTTTACTATTAAGCGTACAATCTATTTATTTGATTAACTTAGATCATTTTATATGGTATCATAGTTGTAATTTGAATTTGAGAGTACTAATTAACCCTTATATGAACTTATTAGAGTAATTCTCAACTAAAATTATACTAATGGAAAATATGATAAAACGGACAAGACCTCAATACCCTTAATATTGCACACATATGCAAAATTGCAATCCAAAGCCAATGTAATGCAATGGATGAGCCACACATCTGGTCATTTATGATCCATCCACAAAACCCAAAAACATCCAAAGCTAGAATACAATAAAGATAATACCTTATCCTCAAAATTCAATAGCTACCATATTCAATGATCATCTCTACCTCCCTTTCCACCACCATCACCACCTCCTATCCCCACCTTTTCCTTCCCCGCCGACATCGCCACCGCCACCGCCACTGCCACCGCAATTCCTCTCTCACCCTTAAATCCACCCTCGCCGACACCAACACCTCACCGCACGCCGCCACATCCACCGTCAACGACCCCAAATCCGCCATCATCATCGGCGGCGGCCTCTCCGGCCTCTCCGCCGCCACTCACCTCCACTCCTCCGGCGTCCCTTTCCTCCTTCTCGAAGCTTCCAACGGCGTCGGCGGTCGTGTCCGTACAGACGTCGTCGACGGCTTCCTCCTCGATCGAGGCTTCCAGATCTTCATCACTGCTTACCCTGAAGCACAGAAGCTTCTCGATTATTCTTCCTTAGACCTCCAGAAATTCTACTCTGGAGCTCGAGTTTACTACAATGGCGGATTTCATACTGTCGCTGATCCTGTTCGCCATTTATGGGACTCCATTGGAACCCTAGGTAATCCCATTGGTACAATTTTTGATAAATTGCTCATCGGATTAACTAGAATTAAGGTTTTAACCAAATCATTTGAGCAAATTGTTGTTGCTGATGAGGTTCCTGTGATTGAATTGCTGAGAAATTCTGGTTTTTCGGATTCGATTATTGATAGATTTTTTAGGCCATTTTTTGGTGGGATTTTTTTCGATCGAGACCTTGAAACATCGTCGAGGTTATTCGATTTCATCTTTAGATGCCTCGCATTGGGAGATAATACGCTTCCTGCAAAAGGAATCGGCGAAATACCGAATCAATTGGTGTCAAAATTGCCTCGAGATTGCATTAGGTTGAATTCGAGAGTCGTATCGATTGACATTGATGAAGAAAAAAGGGTTAATGTGAGGTTAGATAATGGGGAGAGTTTGAGAAGTGAGATTGGGGTGATTTTAGCAGTTGAAAAACCAGAAGTTGAAAAGATTTTAGCGGGATATTTGTTGGAGGGAGTAAATAAACCGGGTAATAAAAAGCCGGGTCGGAGTACGGTTTGTTTGTATTTTTCTACAGATCAGGATAAACTCCCAACCTCGGACCCGGTTTTGTACCTTAATGGGTCGGGTCGTGGGATTGTGAACAATATGTTTTTCGCTACTAATGTTGCCCGGTCGTATGGCCCACCTAATAAGGCGCTGGTGTCAGCTACGTTGATCGGATTGTATGATGATGTGTCGGATGATGAGTTGATTGGGCGGGTGGTACGAGAGCTTTCGGGGTGGTTTGGGGAGTCGATTGTTGGGAGTTGGAAGCATTTGAGGACTTATCGGGTCAAGTTTGCCCAACCAAATCAAAGCCCGCCTACGGACTTGATGAAGAGTCCGAGGATTGGACCTGGGTTTGGGTTGTATTTGTGTGGGGATTACCAAACTAGTGCTACATTTGATGGGGCCTTAGTTTCTGGTAGGAGAGCTGTTGAAGCTTTGCTTGAAGATAGAGCAATTAGTCGACTTCTTTAAAATGTAAATTGGTTCATTTTCACGCCAAAGATTGACTCATTATACTACAATAGTCCAATATAGTGTTTGTTTGCTAGTCGGAGTAGCTGTATTTGTTGTAAGAAAACTCAAGTAATTGTATAGTGATTAACGCACTTAAGCTGTACTATAGCCATCGTTACAAATTGGGAATGTTATTTAGTTGATTGTAGAGTCGTAGAGGCATCATCAAAAGTAATTCTAGGCGGAAAGCATGATCGAAGAGTGTCATAGGCGTATACCAATCAACATAAACCCAAGCTACTAAGCCCATGCGTGGTTCCTATAGGCGTTTGTACGATGCCTATCGTACAGACGTTCTCTAAAAAAAAAAAAAAAAAAAAAGCGGAAATAACATATTATAGAAAAGTAATGAAAATATAGATATAGTGAAAAGAACATAATATTAAAATGTAATGAACTTATACCTAGAGTGAAAATAACATATTTGTGCCCAAAATGAGTGAAAAGAACATACTTTTATATGTGACATAGTGTTCATTGCTTGTTAGAGCACTCCCAATGGTGATAAAAAAATATGCTCATGGGCATTTTGGGTAGGTAAAAAATATGCTCATGCATTATAATGGTGATCAAATGAAGAAATGCAAAAATATGCTCATGAGCATTTCTAAAAATGCCCAAGATTTGGGCAAATTTGAGGATGAATGGTGCTCTGGTGGGCCCCACAATTTGCAATGGTTATATTTTTTGTAATGCAAATTCTGAAATAAATATTTATTAAAAAAAAATTAAAATTACCAACGGTCATAAAATTTAATTATCTATAAATAGACATGCATTTTGGTATATTTTGGTATAATTTCAGAAATACCATAAATCCTCCATATTCTTTATTTTAACGATAAAAACGACACAAATAAAAAAAATAAGTTGCACAAATTTAGACTAGTTTTTATTTATATGGAGTAATATTGTTAAAATATAAATGAAATTATAAAATAAAGAAGTATTGTGTAGGAGAGAGAAAGTAATGATGGGGTATTGAAAAAGTAAGAGAGAGAGAGTAGTGGGCAAGCATTTTTTTTTTTGCTCATCATTGGGAGAGAAATTGTGAAAAAAGTTTGCCCATGGGCAAAACAGATTTGTTGAGAGAGATAGTGGGTGGGCATTTTTTTTGCTCACCATTGAGAGTGGTCTTATGAAATGTTTTTTAATTTTGAAAAATTTGAAAAATACCACTAACAATTATACCCATTTTTTACAAAACCACCAACAGTTTTTGCCACCAACTATTCTTCAAGACCTTAAAAACTACTACCATAACGTCACTGTGGGCCCCTCTAACTACCTTCTTATTTTCCCTCCTTCTCCCTCTCTATTCTCACAATTCTCTCCCCTGTTCCCCCCATTACTTCCCTCTCTCCTCTTTTCTGTTTGTGTTGCTAATTACTTAGGTGATAATTAGGGTTTAAATCTGTAATTTGTTCTTCAAGGCAATCGAAAATGCAAAACTGAGTGCATAATCATGTTATCAAGAAGGTATGTTCAATTAGGGTTTTTGAAATCAAATAGGGGTTTTTCAATTGAAATTAGGGTTTATAAATTACATTTGTGGTTTTGATTGTGGGGTTATAATGTAGCAAAATTGGTTGTTTTTTTTTTTTTTTTTTTTTTTTTTGCGATTTATTGGTAATTAAGGATACATTTTAATTTTTTTTTTATTTTTTTTTGCAAGGATCTTGTTTATGGTTGAAAATCTGTAAGTGTGCATATCTAGTTTGCTTGCTGACTTCATGGACCAGGGAGAACCCAGGACGTAGATTTCAGGCATGTCAGTTCTATGATCAAGTGACTGAAACTAGAGGCTGTGACTACTTCAATTGGGTTTATAAGGAGATGACATAGTGGTAGAGATGTCACAAACCAGTTGTTGTTGGACAATAAACTACAAAAGACTGAGATAAAGTATTGAAGAAGGAATTACATGATGTTTGTGCTGAAAATCAGAGTTTAAAAGATCAATGCAAGCTATTGAAGAGCCATGGAGTGATGCTTCCTGTCATATGTTGCCTGATGGTGTTTGTTGCAATTGTTATTGTTGTGCTTAGGTAGATTAATGTTTGTTGGGGTGGAATAATTGTACTTCGACTGAAAGTAGCTTAGGTTGAATGTAGTTCTGGTAAAACGAAGAATGTACTTTCCTTTGCTTTGCATTATGAACTTGGCTTAATGAAATATTATCCCTGTTTTTGTTCCACATTTGTTGTATATATTTTTCGCTATTGGTTAGTGCAAAAGAAGTTGATGAAAAGAACTGATAATAATAACATCATAGACATTCCATGGCAAAACATCATAATGCAAGTTGTCATACCTTAGGTTATGTTCAAAATACACACAAAAACTAACCACCAATGCTTCTAAAAACCCTAAGTTAATGTTGTTGTTTTAGTCTACTACATAAGACAATATCCCAAAAAATTATGCCAACGTACAAACATGAAAAATCTACTCATAAAGACTATCTACGATCTTAGATTTGATTGGCAGCTTCTACTTGGCCCTGCTAAGAGTTTGCTGCATGATCTGGCTGATGTTTTGGCTTTGTTGTGTGGTAGGGATGGGATCTTGAAATGTTGACTGAGATGTAGGGTGAGTGGATGGTTGCACTTGCAAATCTGCAGAAACCTTCTTTGTAGCCCTGGCTTCCCTCTTCTTTCTTTGATTTTTCACCCAGGGTGTGTCCATTGGAGGTCTACCACCCTAGATCCTGTACAGGAGGGTCATTGACAGGGGCATTCTTGCAGGTGATTTTGTTATGCCCTAGCTGCTTCACTATTAAAAAATGTCCATATAGAAAAATAATATTAGTGACGGATTTCAATCCGTTTCTAAATTAGAAACGGAATGAAAAAAAATCCGTCTCTAAATTAATATAGAGACGGAATTAAATATCTGTCTCTAAATTGAAAACGGAATTGAAAATCCGTCTCTAATTTAGGGACGGATTTTTTTCCGTTGCTAGATTTAGAGACGAATTTTTTTCTCTTTGCTAAATTTAGAAACGGATTTTTTTTCCGTTGCTGATATGAGCGATGGATTTTTAATTCCGTTCCAGATATGAGCACCGAATTATGTAAAATATTACTTTAGAGACGAATTATGTAAAATAGAGACGGATTTTTTTTTCAGCTGCTAAACTAGAGACGGGCTTTTTTTTCAGCTGCTAAACTAGAGACGGATTTTCAAATCCGTTGCTAAACTAGAGACGGATTTTCAATTCCGTCTGTAATATTTCTTTCAATTATTATCAATTATGTGCGTAGAAGTAAACAAATAGTATTTAGCATAGTTGGTAAGAGTTTCACCATGTGATTTTTGAGGTTACAGGTTCGACTCCTACCAATTGTGATTCTTGAGATTGGGTACCGAATAGCATCTCTATTTTTAGAGACAAAATAATTTTTCCGTTGCTAAATTTAGAGACAGATATTTTTTTCCATTGCTGATATGAGAGACGGATTTTTTTTTTCGTTACTGATATGAGCGACGGATTTTTTTTTCCGTTGCTTAATTTATCGACAAATTATTTTTTTCCGTCTCTAAATCCATTTAGCGACAAGGTTATACCAACGGAGTGATTCTGTCGAAATATCCGTAGCTAGCTATATCTAGCGACGGATTTTTAGAAGTTAGAGACAGATTTCACCGTCGCTAAAAGGCCAAATTTTTGTAGTGCTTGCAATTGCTGCACTGCTTCTGTTTCTTGGGAGGCTTAAATTGATATATAAACATTAAATTGATATATAAACATTAACATATATATAAAGTTACATTTTTCTGTTAACTTTCAAAACAAAATAGGAAAACAATAGCTTGAATTAAGAAATACTCCAACAGCAGCTAGCAAACGTTCAATGAGCTGAGCTTGCTTTTGCCTCCTTACGGTTTCCCTCAACAATACTCTGAAACTCTTTCTCACCTTCAGCAACTAGACTCTTGACAGTATCAAAGGCGGTCAGCCGAATACTGCAACCAGAAAATGTTTGTCAGATCTATCTTTGAATGAACCACATTGATTTATGCATTTCACATCGAAAGTTTCAAGCATCTTCTTTCTGCCTATTGTTCAAATGGTCACATTGAAGGAGTAGACAAGAATCGAGCATGCTCATATGCTCTACATACTTCACATGTTCACAAAGATACCAGGATGATCAAAGTGCATATTAATCTCACTCGTCTATACTATGCAAAAGGTTTGTAGAGTAAGTGTATTAAGAAATTAAATATTCACCCAAAAAAATAGGCTTTTGTATACATGCACCACACAAAAATATGTTACAAATTTCAAAATGTAGAGATCTTCACAGAATGAATAATTTTTAACAGGCATATACTTCCAATGAAAAGAAATTATCTGTAAGAACCTATTGGTTATCACACAACCAGGCCAAATTTAGCCCTCGAATTTGACAAGCTAGACATCCACAGACCACAGCTCCACACCTAACTACACTATTATGAAGAACAAACAAGAAAGGAGGCAAAGAATTATTTATAAGGCTAGCAAACTAACCTTTACTGAATTACCAACAAGATTTGTTATAATCTGCCGGAATCGCCCAGGGTCTCCAACCAAAATCTCAGGTACCTTATTGGATACATATATAGCCAACTGCCGACAATGAATAAGGAAATAAAAATTAGGACTAAATTACACTCACAAATTTGGATAAAAAATTAACTTCTACATGATTAAGTAATTTATTATACTTCAATTTCTTTTTCCCGAGACTTTCCCGAGAATAGAGAAACAACATTGTCTAGGATATTACGCAAATCAAAGGGCACTGCCTCAAGCTCAAGCCGGCCTGATTCTATCTTGGCCTGATCAAGAACCTCATTAATAATGGAAATGAGATCCTTTCCGCTGGCATGAGCTGTCTGGGCATAATCAAGTTGATCAGCATCCAGATCAGTATCCATCAACATTTGCAGCATACCTAAAACAAAGGCCAAAATTCAGATCCAACATAGATAGCAAAAACTAATCAAATACAGAATATACTCTATGTCAAATTCCTTCTTACCTAAAACACCGTTCATGGGCGTTCTAATTTGTTGCTATATATAGTTTAAAGTAAAAGAGGCAACAAGGTTCAAAGGAAAAACTTATTACCCCATAGTTGCTGTTATGCGTTGCTCTGGAGTGGCATCTGGTGGAAGCTGATGGTCATAGACAGCAAAAGTAAGTACTACTCCCAGGTGATTAGATTTAAGTAGCTTAAATGGAGAAGTCAAGACACCCTTTCCAGTTGCCCTGGCTCGCAAAATATTGTCACGGTCTTCCTGCATATATAAAAATTTACCTTAATTTATTTGTAGTGGCTGAAGTAGAAACTACAATTATATCAGATATAGATAATAGATGTCATTAAAGAGTCCCTATTCTGTTTTAAGTTTTTAATTGCTGATGAGAGATACGGACACTTCAAATCCTGATCATTTCAGTCAGGGGATTAAAGTGCTAGACTGATTGTAGGCCCTATTCTTTACAGCTTACAATAATTCATGTCTGATAGTTTAATATGGACTGATGGTTCAAATAAGCTCAGATAATATATTAACTAGAATAAGAATAGCTTCATATCAAATCCAATAAGCTCAGATAGATACAATTTTGATAAATGAAAGGTTTCAGGAAAGAAAAGCTTGAGCCAAGCGTGAAAAATGGAAACGATAAGTTTCCAAACGCTTCCAACATATATACGATGAACTGAATTGGAAAAAAGTTGATTACAGATATGTATCCATACATAATTAAAGAGAGAGTCATATTAATTATAGATAAATATCCATACATAATCAAAAGGAGACTCAAGATAGATTCCTCAAAAAATATATTTAACTCCAGCAAAGTTGCTCGTCACAAATAGAATTTAGAACAGGAATTTCTATCTTGACTCTCATTAAATTACATTTACAGATTTCACAATACACACTATACTGCTGGGAATGACATTAATAGAGATAGAAATTCATCAAACATGTTACTTTATAAACAAAGAACCCTCAATAATTGAAGAACATACCTTTCCAGACATCCTGTCTATAGAGACAATATGAGCTACTGTTCTTTGACAGAATATAACAGGTGCATATTCATCTTGAATGGGTGCAGGATCCATCTTTGCAGGATCAAAATCTTGTACAAGAGTCTGATCCCCGTGCTCCATCTTCTTTATAGTCCATCCCTGACGCTTTTCAAATTTCTCCCTCTCAGAGTGAGTAACATTCAATGCATAGGCAACACCACTGGTGAGTGGCCTCTCAAAAGCAGTTCTGTCAGTATATTCTTCAAATGTTTTCTGCAAAACCAACAGCATAAAAAAGATACCTACTTAGCAATCATCTCCAGAAGGAAAAAGATGCCCAGAAAAAGCAATCAGTTTAACAGCAGGTGTAAAATGAAACTCACAAACATTTGTATTGTATTCTGGTTGGATTACACTAGTAAATAAAAATAATTAAGCTGTTATAAACTTATTGTTGTCATAAAGTTTTATCATATTATTGCTAAATATATTCTAGCTGTGCAAAGTTCAGACTGTTACCATCAGCAGGCTCTGTTGACAATAGATTTGCAATATGTGACGCCGAGGCATCCAATCCCTCAAGATCGTCTTGGCTATCCTCTAAAATCTCCGTTACATCAAACCCTATTATACAGAGAAGGAACTTAGATAAGCTTTCCTCACAAAAAAAAAATACTAAAAAACAAAAGCAAATTATAAGTAATATAGGCAAATCATAAAATGAATTTAATATAATTTTCAAACACATTTAGAAGATTAGCCTCAAGGAAGTAGCAAATAACAGCAGTATTTACTTCGTTTTCAATATCTTCAACCTCAACTTTAGCTAAATTATCGTATCCTGTGTTCTCAGATATTTTATGCAAATTGACATCTAAATTTTATAGAAAAATTGTATAAACCATTTTAACAAGAACAATAATCAAGTCCTTTACTTTCTTACCTCGGCTTGAGTAACAATCGCTCCACAAACAACATATTCACATTTTAAGACCTGGCAGGATCAATTCATCACCTATCATTTTTACAATATAACTTTGAGCAGCAATTCTGTATAGAGCAATAATACAGCTAGGATGGGAAAATGAGCAAAGTGCAATTAAGGGGAATGAATTTATGAAAGCAAAAGAAAAGGTAATACTTTCTTGAAGTCCAAAATTTTCAACAGGGTTCAAAATGCATATAGGCTAAATTCATTTATTTTACACACATTTTATCATCCTATTCTTTCCATAGTTGTAGTCTTGTAGAGAGAGTACATAACAGCAAATTCAGGAAGGATATTAAAAAAGTGAAGTTGTATCATGAGTTTTCAGTGAAAGACAGAAAGAGCCAACTGGTCTAAATACTTACAAGCTTCTCCATTCAATCGAGAGGCAGCTTTGGGCATTAACAATCAATCACCACAACTACAAATTCACAAAATAATGAAGAGCAAGTTATAGTGATTACCAAATTTTACAACCAAAAGACCTTGAGCAAATATAGATTACCATAAAATAATTAAAGGCAAATGATATAATTCTATCAAAGTCAGTAGGCACCATTAATCTCGAATGAGTACCTGCTGAAGGTGTCCAATCAACAAGATCATAGTATAGCTGCATAATTTGACAGTGCAAGCCACACCCTGATACTTTTATCTTTTTAAGTAACATAGCTCGATTTTTTACGACAACAATGTCTCTTACATACCTTACATACAATCCACTCTAGATTCATAAACATTTGACATCAAATATCATTTCAAAATCTGTTGCTCATCATTAAAAATTAAACTGCTGTCCAATAAAAAAACAAATATATTTTCTTAGCTATTTACTGTCCCGTTATTCTTCCACCTTCTCTAAATGTTCTTTTCTAATTTTCTTCATGAAACTAGAAATTAATCTATGCCAAGTAAAGGAAATACCAATAATAAGAGGGCAAACATCAACAATATAAACCCATCACAAAAATTTATAGAAAAATTGTGTGTCGTTCAGAACATTCAGGAACAGTCAATTTGAGCCTGTGGAAACATGCATTTCCGGTATATAAAGAGAATTCTTAACGCCGCCCCTGGTAAACAATCTTTGGTATATAGGATTTCTAACTCTTGCGTAATTAAAATACTTGACCAGAAACATTTCTCCCATCCATTAATATAAGATTATGATAGATTAATAGTACAAAATAAGGAAAAAAAATGCAGGAATAAAGAAGAGAAGAGGAGAAAATCCAGGAAAAAACCCAGAAACCCTAACCTCGAATTTCTGATTGTTGGTTCGAAATTGATTCGAATTTGTTGTTGTTGAACACGCACGCACATTGAATTGATTCAAATAGACGCACCCAGAAACCCTAACCTCCAATATTGTAGAAAGAGAGAAGGAGAAGGAGATCGAAAGAGAGAAGAAAGGAAAGGAAAAGTGACGGTTATGGAGAATGAGATCGAAGAAGAGAGACAGAGTGTTAAGAAAGCTCAGAAGCCCCTTCAATGGAGAAATTCGAGTACGCTACAATGGAGGAGAGAGAGAGGCAGATTAGACGAGAACGAAGAGGAAAGAGCAAGGAAATGAATTAAAGAAGAAGACGCGCCTTAAACCGGGGGTTTTTTTTTAAAATGGCACCGGTTCAAACCGGTGCTAATTACTATATTTGGCACCGGTTTAAGGAGAACCGGTGCCAACTCTATTGCTTTTTTGTTTTTTGTTTTTTTTTTTAAAGGTTGGCACCGGTTTGAACCGGTGCTAATTAAATGAGTTGGCACCGGTTTTGGTTGGAACCGGTGCCAACTCCCTATTTTCCAATCCCGCCCATTTCTTTTGGCACCGATTTTCAAGAACCGGTGCTAAAGGGGGGGTGCCTATTTGATTTTTTCTACTAGTGTTGAGACACACTCTATATATTCTTTCTAATGTCTTCTTGATGTAAGGCATATTCCTGTCACTTAATTTCTTTGCAACTTCCCACTTTTCATTACATCTCCTCATCATATATCTCCTAAGCCATTCCATTTGGGTCAGAATTGGCTTGTCCCTTGCTTCTCTTATGACGGAGTTGAAGGTTTCACACGTGTTGTTCAACAACATGTTTGATTTGCATTGTGTTGAAAAGGCATGCCTTCACCAGAGTGCTTGGTGGGAATATTTGCAAGATATTCATAGTCTTCTTCATTCAAAATTCTTATACTCTCCATTGCAACTTCATGATCAACCTAGAATCAAATATAAAACAAACAACCAGTTCATATACTGTATTGAAAAATATAGCATTGACTAATAATGCAGTAGGCAAATCTTAACATGTGAAGTTTACCCCGGCCCGTCTTAGAGCCGGTTTTGTATGATACACAGAACAGGACCCCCAAAAATGAGGGCCCCAAAATTTCGCAAGTTCAAGTTTAAAAAAAAATTAAAAAAAAAAAAAAAAAAGAGTAAATATTTCATCTTTATCATATTCCTGTAAAACAAGGCCACCATTTCCAAAACCATATCCAAACTCTTCAGATTCTTCTTTCTTCACCAAAATTAAGTCTTTGACTTTAGTTTCTAAATTTCCAATTAAAATTAAACACTCTTTTTTATCTTCCTTTAATGGCTAATTCCCTTAATTGTACCTAACTACAACAATTTTTTAGGCAAACTTTGAGCAACAATTTATTCTCAATTATAATAATCCGATTTTGATTCACATTAACAGCCGATTTATTTTCATACTCCATTAAACCAGCATTAAGTACTTCCATACCCCCAAACAATTACAATCTTTGCACCAAAAAAACAAACAATTACAATCTATTTTCAATTGTAATTCGGTTCAATCCACAAGTTCTTTGGCCAAGAATTCTTCCATTATAGTTTGTAGACTTGGAGCTATGATCTTTGCTCTTTGGAGTGCAGAGGTTGATTAAATTACGGTGTTTTTTTTTTTTTCCTCTGAACTCTGAAGTATAAATTTTCAATAAAAACTTAGCATTATTAATTTTGGCTCTATAAATTGTTGAAAAAATCATTATATAATAATAATGCTTTTTACCTTAAATTAAAAATGGTTCTTTAAAAATTATTAGGGCCTAATTTTTATTATTAGAACAAGGCCTCCAAATTGTCGGAGACGGCCCTGAGTTTAATTACCAGAGTAGTTGCCCTAGCTACTTTCCAAAAGAGTTCTTTAAATAGACTTCTAGTGAATTGAAGCTTGAAGTTGGCCTGCCTTACACAAAATCTGATTTTTGCTTTGGACACAACTGTCTTGACTCTTGAATGCCTCAAGCAATCCCTGTCAATGTCAAGTTAACATGATCATGTGTATAAGCATGTTCATATTAGAAACAAACCAAAACTAAAGGTAAGTATATACCTTTTACCTATTTGACATAAAGGTCCACCCTTCTCCTTCATCACCTGCTAACTCTTTCATTAACTCTTCTAGGAACCGCACCCAACTCTCTGTATTTTCAACCTCTACAGTAGCCCATGCAAATGGAAAAATGTTATTGTTCCCATCTTTGCCTACAGCCACTAATATCTGCCCTGGATATGCCATCTTCAAATGGCAGCCATCAACTCCAATAATGGACCTACACCCTTGAGTAGAGCCATCAAGCAAGCCATTGAGGCCTACAAACATTTTCATAAAAAGTGGTGGCTCAAGCCCATCCATACCATCAACAACTACACCAACTCTACTTCTTGGATTGTACTTCATTAATGCCTTCCCATAATCAAACACTTTCTCATATTCCATATATAACAAACTTAGCCCTTGCTCTAGCCATCCAAGCTTTAGTGTAACTAACCTTAATTCCTGTATCCAATAAAACCCTATTCCTAAATGCTTTGAGTTTCCAGTTAGGGTCAGCTCTCCACTTTTCTAAATACTTGTCTTCCAAGTACTCTGCACTCATCTTGTTGTTCATGTTCCTCCTCACACATGTGTGTCTCAATCTCATTGATCTAATCTCCCAGTAATCTACCCTAGTCAGACACCTAGCATAAATCTTGAAAGGACACTGATTCTCACAGTTACACATTGGCTTCCTTGCATTCTTCTTACCCCTAGGACAGTCACATTGGTACTTGCAATAAACTGTAATCCTACTTTTATCATTATGCAATTAATAGAAGTTGATTAGGGGATTTTCTCAACCAATCACTATCTGACAAGTGGACCAATTAGGTTCCGCCACGTGTCCTTCACATGGGCAAATAGGAGTCTGCCACGTGTCAATCAGATATACATCCACCATGGACCAATTGCGACACGACACGTGTCCCCCCATGCCAAATGGGAAAACCGGCCAACAAGGCCCAATCCTCGTGGGAGGCTCAGTCAGCCCTAGGTTTAACCTAAACCTAGGAATTGGCACGCATCCCAAGGCATATAAATATGCTCATTAATCCTCATTAAAGGGGATTACACACATTAAACACTCTCACCTAGAGAGACTCAATTACACTACTCCGCATTAATTACTCCTTAAACAAGTACCAACTTGACCGTTGGAGGCGGATCTTTAATCACTCGGAGTATCCATTTGTTTTGCAGGTATAGGCGTCCGGTTCCAGTCTCGGAATTGTAACTCTCCCGCAGGACATCAGAAAACCCGAAACATTTTGGCGCCGTCTATGGGGAGAGTACTTTTGAGATGGCATCTACGTCTGTACCGACTCCAGAAGAGTGGCGTCCCCTTAACGAACCTCAAGTTCAGTCGGATCATGATACCGAAGATGAGGTTGAAGTTGAAGCACACACAGCCTCAGACGGGACCCTAAGGGCCCGACGTACCCGTCACACCGAAAGGAGAGAACGGGAAGATCATCAAACTAGACTCAGTGATCCAGTCGGCGCACCACCTGATCAGCAGCAGGCGGCTGAAGGATCTGCTCCCATTACAAGAAATGAACTCGTGACCTTCATGAGGGGCTTCAAGGGGGAGATCCAGGAACTTATCAACAAAAAGACGCCTGCTCTGACCAAGGAGCAGTCGGCTAAGAAACCTTCCTCTTCAGGAAAGAGGAAACCTGTTCAAGGACGAGAGGCGACCCCTCATCCTAACTCTAGGAAGTGGGAGCCGCCTGTGCTTGATTTCACAAAGTACCGTTTTCCCACACCTGGGAAAAGGAAGCCCGTTCGTCATATACAGGCGGACGGGTCAAAGAAAACATACACAGACGCTCGGCTATTGCTAGAGCTGAAGAAGAATGACCGACTGTCAGAGTCGGCCTCCACTTCAGATTTTCAAGATAGTCTGCGCAATACCTCTATGAGGTATACCCAGTCAAATCATGAGAGTCAGACAGATGGTACCTCCCGTCGGTCTGGATTTCATAACGATTAGGCGGTACCAAACTTACCATATGTACCGCAACAATATTTTCTGCAGCCACCTCTGTTTGGAGGACAGGCGGCAAAAAATGTCCAACCTTTGGACTGGCAGCTACGGTTGCTTAGACTTGGAGAATAGCCGTCGGCTTTCTCCAAGGAAATTATTGAAGCCGCTCAGCCGGCCAAAGTTAAAAATGTGTTAGTAGGCGCCTATGACGGCACTACTAACCCTGAAGACCATTTGATGGCGTTCACCAACCTAATGTACCTCCAAGGGTTGGATGATTCCACTTGGTGCAAGTGTTTCCCAGCGACTCTTAAAGGAATCGCACAACAATGGTTCGACAACCTGCCGACTGGTTGTGTGAACAACTTCAAGACGCTTGCTTACTTATTCACCTCCAATTTTGCCATGAACATACCTGCAAAGAAGACGACCCTTGATTTAGGGACGATTCAGCAAGGTGAGAAGGAGGGACTTTGTTCTTATATCAGGCGGTTCAACCTGATGAGGATACAGATTCAAGGGCTACTGGATGAGGTGGCCTATACTGACTTTTTCAGAGGTCTCAAGGACGGGTCGACCTTCAAATTTGACTTGGTTCGAAAGAGGTTGGCGACTCTTCAAGAAGCCTTGATCGAGGCAGAAGCCTATATACAAGCAACTGATCTCTGTAATACTGGAAATCAGTCGGACGGAAGGAGGTCCGACAAGAAGGAAGGCCGGCCAAAGCCGTCGGCCAACAAGGATGATAAGAAGAGAAAAGAGGTCTGGGCGGCTGATTCCTCTAAACAGCCGGCCCAGAAGAAGAAGAAAGAGTTCAAACCATACTCCCCTAAGTATGCGTTCAACAAGGATAGCCAGGCTATCCTAAAAGAAATCAAGGGACGGATCTCAATTGAGAAGCCGGCCCCCATGAAGGGTTCTGCGAACAACCGGAACCAGGATAAGTTTTGCCATTATCATGAAGATGTTGGTCATGAAACCAACGAATGTATCAGTCTCATGCAGTACCTAGACCGCCTGGCTAAACAAGGCGATCTTGACTCCTATGTTAAGAAATCTAAGGGGAATACTTCCTCAAAGAATAAGCAGTCGGTCAAAAAGAACCAACAGGCCGACAGTTCTGATACAGATGATGCAGTCGTCTACACAATTGCAGGCGGCTTCTCAGGAGGCGGCCCCACTATCAGGGGCAATAAAAACAATATCAGGCGGCTAGACATCAATTCTGTTCACCAAGAACGACCCTCCAAGAATTCATTTCCTGAAATGGTCATCACAGAAGAAGATTTAGGAGGGGTGAGGGGGCC